AAAGAAAGAAAGAAAGAAAGAAAGAAAGAAAGAAAGAAAGAAAGAAAGAAAGAAAGAAAGAAAGAAAGAAAGAAAGAAAGAAAGAAAGAGTGGTATTGCTCAGTGGAAGAGCAGTTGCCAAGCATGTGCAAGGCCCTACAACTGGCTCCCCAAACCTAACCCACCAACAAGGCAATTCCAAAGATAAATAAGCACAAGAAATAAGCAAATAGCCATCAGCAATAAAGCAAAAAGGGAAATAAGTCATCACATTTTAGGCATGAAACCGGCACAGGAAACTGTGCTATCTAATGTGGGCAGTACACAGAGAATGGGATGCCACCAACACTTGGCAAGTGTGCAAATGGTACACAACTTGTCTGAGTGTAATTTGTACTGTCAATCAAAACTTCACTGAAACAATGAATCAAACTTTTAAAAAACAGAAGTTCATATTTCAAAAGCTATAACCTAAGGAAATAATTAACAAGTAAGCAAAGCTAGAATTATAACCGCATTACAGTGTAAACACTAGCTAAAAATAAGTGTAACCAACCTTAACATGGTCACATATGATAAATATCCACCTTTACAAGCCACTAAAAATCACGATAGCCAGCAGCCAGGTTATTAAAGGAGATCTGACACTACAAGATGACCACACATCTAGTGATATACATTTCCTTGAAATATCAAATGACTATTGCACTTGGTTTTTGTCTACAAAAAGGACAAATTCTACTAAGTTCACGCAATTATTCTTTAAAATTCTAATACCTCCCTCCCTCTAAAATTTAACTGACCCAGTTCTTCTAACAGACCTACACTTGTCTTAAGTTTATTGTTTAAGATTACTAATACTATATACATAATTAAGATGTGGTTTTTCTTCAAATATGTTATCCTACAGAAGAAAAGATGCACTTTCCTTTATTTCATCCAGGTACTAGGCCCACCCCTGCTCTACAGCAGCAACCTACAAGCCATTTATACTACTCAACCACAGCCAGGTACCTTAACCAACTCTAATATTAAAGAATCAAATTTGCAAACTCTGTATTTTAACTACATGAACAATTACAAAGCATATAGTGTTCACACAAGCACAGACTGAATATCAGGTAAAGTATTTTGATCAATAGATAAAATAGTTCCAGCTACCCTGCGCCAGTGGGACTTGCCGGTCCAAGCCCAGGCACAGCGTGGGTGAGACCCTCTTCCACCCCCTTGGGACACCCAACACCACTCCGCAGCATCCCCCCACCACATAAGAATTTCGGCCGTGTTCTGGGGACCCCCAGATCCAGTCCTAGCCCAGGCCTGGTGAGTGTGTGGGAGAGCTGCCTCTCCCCCCTACTCCACCTTGTCCCCTCCAGACTCAGCTTGGGCCTGGCATACAGGCCTGAGGTGAAACCCTACAGCTGTCATACCTGCAGAGAGAGTAGGGGACAGAACCACCCAGCTAGTCCAGGAGCAGAACATCTTGCCAGAGGGGCACAACAGGTTCACTCCCAAGTGCAGCAGCAGGAAGGAGCTGAGCACAGCAGCCAGACCCAAGCCAGGCACAGCTGGATAAATCCAACCTTTGTATATTTGCACCTGAACTTCAGTAGGTGCTAAGGTTATAACTGCACCAAAGCTCTACAAAAAGGTCAGAAGACAGTGCTACACAAAACGCCAACGTGAAGGAGTAAAATGCAATCTCAGAACCCAAGCCCACCCATAAGTGCAGAGGACACTAACACAGAACAAATGGGGAATCACACAGCTGAAATCAATGAATCAATGGCTTCTGAAATAGATAAAATACTCTTCTTTTTAATGAAGGAGTATTTCTTAGCCAATTCAGTAACAAAATAGAGATACTAGATAGTGGAACAAGACTGACCCACAACCTCCAAAACCTAGCATCAATTAAATTTCCTTAGTTAATGACAGTCAACCCACTACCCTGCCTTTTACCTTCGTACAGAAAGATAAAATAAAGCTGTATTACACTCAGGACAGAGGCTCTACAGTCACACTACAGGAGGTGAAAATATTATAGTCATTTCAGAGTAAGACTGCCTTACTCCTAGCAAAGGTACAACATGTTCCACATTACGTGTCATGATGATGCTACCAATCTATGGTCTGAATAATCCTCAACTGTATCTTCAAGTTGACAACAGCGCAGAGTCAGGTGTTCATAGGATAAAACACAAAAGGTAAATGAATGGCACTGAATCAGTGCCATTCTTAGAAAACTGAGAGAATCATACCTCACTCACACCAGGGCTCATACTCAATGATTATGGGTAATCCTCTGAAGTACAATGAGTCTGTCCCATCTTTCACTTTGTAATTCAGAGCACATATTTAAATTAAATACTCATGTGATCCAACTTCACTATAGAAGGTAAGTCATAGAACAAATTTATTCTGAAGTAATAAGGATAAGTTACCACCATTCCTCAACTTTTACTTTCTGCCTTAGAAAACAAAAGCAAATATATAAATCCCATTGTGCCACTAAACTAAATTGTAAAATGAATTTTTATAAGGTTAAATATAGCACACCTTCCCTGCAGTTCAGCTTTTTCTTAAATTTATTCAGAGCTGATTAACTGTAAAACTTAAGACCAAAATCCCATTTTTGTGAGAAATCAGATCTTACCTACTACCATAAGTGTGAATTCAAACCCTCTCTTCACTGATTTTCTATATACTTGATTTGGGAGATTGGCAAATCCCACGTAGCCTTCAAGGTTCTTCGGTTGCTGAAAAGGTAAAAAGCCAAGTTGTTTACATATCACTTATTTCAAATTTCTTTTATTAAACTACTTAAGAAAATTACACAAAATATTATAACAAATCATACTACCTTATTGTTAGCAGGAGTATTAATTGCAAAATTGACAAAATAAAACAAGTAAGCATGAGTTGATTAATGATGTAATTATTATAAAAACTCAAGGAAACAAGTCTCAGAGCAAAAATCTGAACTGAGAGTAAGTTAGTACAAGACAACAAATCAGTTTTTTCAATGAAAAAAATCAAATGCTCTTAAGATCGTATTAAGAATCTTTTTTAAACTATCACCTTTGCTGACTACACTACCATACATTTGTATTATTTGAACTCTTCTGACTTGTGAGATGAAATAAAAATGCTGAATTTAAAACAATTTTTCAGGCCGGTGAGACAGCTCAGTAACTAAGCACCTGCTTAGGCAAGCACAGGCACTGGGATTTGATCCCCCATACCACATGCCATGCAGGCCCTGCCCCTGGGCACATTGAGGTGGCCATCTAGCACAGGTGTGGTTGTGCATGCCTATAATCCCAGTGCTGAGGAGGCTGAAAACAGGAGGATCACTGCGAATCCAAGCTGTGTAGTGAGACACTGTACCAAATACATAAAAATAAATAAAATAAAATAACAATTAAAAAAACCCAATTTTTCATAAATTCTTTAAGGCTCTCAAGATCAGTGTCAATCAGTACACAAGTATCTTTCAAGTTGTTCTACCAGGTCTGATCTGGTCACTTTAAAGTTTCACATGTTCCTGCTTGCTGGCTCCATCTTCAGGGAAATCAAATTTATCTAGGTTTTAAAGTAAAATACAACTCTGTTTTCTATATGGGTTTTTAACTGCTTCACAAGTAATTCAAAAAAATTAATTTTAAATTGGTATAGTAAGTAAGTCTGATGTTTAACTTCACCATTGGTGAGAAACACTGTCCAAAGATCAGACCATCTGGGTCTTGCCAATCAATTTTATTACAGGTAGGTCTTGTTCATCATTAAAATACTACAGCAAAATAGCTCTCAGAGACACATATTTCTTTTAAAAGCTTCTGCCATATTTAAATGCTCATTCACAAAGTAAAGCATCAATTCAACACATTAGGAACTAGTGGAAAACTGAAGTCTTTCATTACATATATAGCCAACTATTTCATCCACTGTCACAGTTTGTGTCTAGATGTACCCCAAAGCCTCATGTAGTTATAGGTGGGGCTTTTTAAAGATGTGGCTAGATCTAAAGCATGTGATACTGGAACTGACTAATAGAGCAATGCCAGGATCAAGGGTACTAGGATTAAGGGTGTGAGAGCTACCCACCCTCAGAAGCCTAGATAAGATATAAGGGGTGGAAAGCTGTGTTCTCTTTTTGCTCTGCCACCTTCTATATACCATGAACTGTTTTTCCTCCCCAGTGCCTGTCTTCAATGCCATCCTGCCTTGGAGCCAGCTGATTATGAACTTAATTCTCTACAAACTACGAGCTAAATAAACCTTTCCTCTTTTAACTGTGAGTTTTGGGTATTCTGTCTCAGCAATGAGAACAGTACTTTACCACTACAGTTACCCTTTTTTCATTCCATTATAAACTCTTAAGCCAAATGTTAGTAAGCCAAGTTAGGGAATCAAATCGAAAAAACTAACTTTAAACATAATTAGGAGACTGATCAAAATATAGTATTATAAATTCAAATATTTGAAAGCCTACTATGAAGAGCTAAAAATGTGTAATAAATGTAGTTTCACTGGCTAGTTATTATCCAACTATAAATTAAATTTAACTCAAACTGAGAAAAGTCAATGTATAAATTATGTTCTATACTCACAGCTACTTTGTGACGAACATATACCCATCATTTCAGTGTTCCAGATTCCAACAGAACAAAATTGACGGCAGAAGAGTAAATAAGGAATTCCAAGAATTGTAGACATGTTCAGTCCAAACACGAGTGGTAAATCCATTGGAACACAGCAAAAGACAGAAAAATAAAAGTTACTTACAGGTAACTCAACAAATTAAGAGGTACATTACAAATAAATTAACAGGCTTTTTTCTTTGTCAAATACTTTGGAGTGGGGATAAGGATAAGTCCTAGTGAGTATAAACTACTCTTTTCAACATCTCTCCTGCTGAAATACAGAACAAAAGACCTTTTATCTTTTTATAATGGCTACTTATTACACCCTGCATGCGAAATCTTAAGAGGAAATGGTGGGTAAGATGCAAAAGAATAAAGTTTGAGCAAGGTATACAGAAACCAACCCATCAATTCCAAGAAAAAAGTGTACATTTCATAAAATTTCATTTTGTCACTCATTGTATTTGAGAGATTTTGAAAAATGTAAACATTTTAACTAAAATACTTTCATGTAACACTGTATTTCCAGTTTGATTATTTAAGTTGAGAACTGGACAAAATTCTGAAATTGATAGAATGGGGATAAAAGAAAGGGCAGAAAATTGAGGACCATAAGCAGCAACACGTGGAAGGATGAGGTAAATGTGGGCTGTGAAAACTGAAAGATAATAAAGCACAAGGAAGGAAAATCAATCCGTGGATAATCTTCCAAGTTTATGCTGATAGAAATCTTTGACTTATATCACAACTTCTAACAATTTAAGGTGGTTAAGGAATTAGTATAAGTTTATAGCTAATTAAATTTAATAGATAAAAATCCAGTTTTAAAGTCAAGTAATTACAAAATTATTTATCCATATCAAAACCCTCCGATAACTTCTCATTTCCCTCAAAAGCAAAACTCAGTGTCCTAAGAATGGCTTCTAACTAGTTCTGAGCATTAGCCGCATCTTAGGAATCTCCCAGGGAGAGTCTACCAAAAGCCCAACCCTTTTGCACCCCAGTCCAACTGTACCTTTCTGCAGCAGAGGGAGCAGCTCTGAGGCAGAGTTCCAGTGTGCAGCCTCAGGTAAGAGCCATCAGCTGCCCAGCCCCATGAAACAGCTCTGCAGTTTCTATGGCCTCACCTCCTGACATTCTTCCTCCTCTGGCTCACTTGTCCTTGGGCCAAACTGGATCCCTAACTTGGGACTTTTGCACTTAACAGATCATTATCTCAGAGAGGCCTCCCTGTCCACCTTATTTTCTTTATTGTGCTGCCCTGGGGTGGCAGCATGTGGTACCTGGGATCAAACCACAGTCCCTGGGTCCCTGTACTTTGCCTAAGCTTGCCTAAGCAGGGGCTTTAGACCAATGAGCTATCTCGCAGGCCACCACCTTACTTTCAGTTAACCCACTCTTTACCCCAGCACTTCACTGCTTGGTTACTGAGTCTCAGCACTTCTCACCACCTAAATGCATTTTCCTCATCTTATTGACTGGGAACTCTGTGCCACCGCAGCCTGTCTCCCAAACTAGAACATAAGCTCCATCAAGGCAGCAACTAAACGAACTGCATAAACTGGCTGCAAGAAAGCAGTAGCCACCTGCGAGTAGAAAAGAGTTCAGAGAACCCCCCAGCCCCAGACAGAAAGATAACAGTAGGGCCCCCAGAGTCCGCCCCTGTGTCTTACTGCTTTATCTCCAGAACAGTGAGTTAAGGGGTTGGAGGGTCATTCCAAGTAAATGGGTGGACCCCAAAATCAGAAATAAGCTGGGTATTTCCAGAAACAAAAATAAGGCATGTAAATTATAACAAAGGAAAGTAGTGGGCAAGGAGATGAATAATAAGAAACAGGTCAACAGGCCAAGGAGCGGACAAGGGCCAGATCATGGGGGACTCAGCCACAATAGGAAGTCTGGATGCTATTTTAGGGGAGATGGGAAGCCACTGGAGGGTTTTCACAGGCGAGTGGCCTGATTAGGGTTTTAAAGACAGCTCTCACTGCTAAGTGCAGGAGTGGAAAGTAGAAAACTAGTAGGCTATTGCCACAGTCCAGGAAAGAAAGGGTATGTTGAACTAAGACAAAAAGGAAATAATGAAAGACTGAGGATTCAAAATATACTTTGAAGGCAGATCTTGGTGTAGTGGTGCACACCTGTAATCCTAGCACTTGGACGTTGTGGCAGGATAATCACTATGTGTTCACGGCCAACCTGGCCTACACAGTTGAGTTCAAGGCCAGCTTGAACTAAAAATGAAAGTGAGATTCTGTCTTTAAAAAAAAAAAAAAATCAGGTTTGAGTATGTTAATTTTGGGTTACTATTACATATGAAGAAGACAGGTTCCGTAGGCTATTTTAAACACCTAACTCCTTCTGAAACTGTGGTTGGCGTGAAAAACTGATCAGTGACTTTTGAGCACATATCTCACTAGGAGAACTCCTAATGAGATTGCAGATGCAAAGAAGGGGGCCAGGCAGAGCCCCAGGGCACTACCAATACAGGTTAGGCTGAGAAAGAACAGCCAGTGGGTGAAACAAAATATGATCATTAAATGCAGAAATAATGAGACTGATAACTTTTAACAAGGGCATCTCTGTCACACAGAGTGACTAGGTTAATTTAAACCCTATAATTCTTTACATATAATTACCACAACATTTAAAATCATCTAAAAATTATTTAAAACATTTGACTTCTCAGTTCCCCATGACTAACCACCCAGAGGGAGCAAACAGTGATATATTCATATGCATAATCCTAGGATCCCAGCAATGTGCCAAAACACATCTAATATCTTAAAAAGGTGAATGACTGAGCTTTCAGGAATATTTTTGAAGAAATTCCATTAAAAGATGAAAAACAAATTGGTTTGGCTACTTTTGCAAAATAAAATATCCCAGAATTTAGTTTCCTATCAAGTACAAAAAACTATAAATCTGAAACTACCTGGCACCGAAACATTATATAGACAATATGTTAATAATATAATATAATTAAGGCTTAAGACAGATTTTTCATGATCATAAAAATCTTTTCTTACCCTGGATTTTAAAATAACCAAAATCTGTAACTCTGAAGACATAACCACCCACTGATTCTTTACCTGCATAAATAAAATGTTCAGAGT